GGACTCTTCAGCCTGGAAAAGTGCAGGCTCAGGGGTGATCTGATGGCCACCTATAAGTTTATTAGGAGTGACCACCAGGATCTGGGGGAACATTTGTTCACCAGAGCGCCCCAGGGGATGACGAGGTCGAATGGTTATAAACTACTGCAAGACCATTTCAGGCTGGACATAAGGAAGAACTTCTTTACTGTCCAAGCCCCCAAGGTCTGGAATAGCCTGCCATCGGAGGTGGTTCAAGCACCGACATTGAACACCTTCAAGAGTAAATTGGATGCTTATCTTGCTGGGATCCTATGACCCCAGCTGACTTCCTGCCCTTCGGGCGGGGGGCTGGACTCGATAATCTTCCAAGGTCCCTTCCAGCTCTAATGTCTATGAAATCTATGAAGTAGGGGCTGGATCTGCAGGCGCTGCCCAGCCAGGGCAGTGCATGGGAGCTGGGGAGGGTGCAGGACAGAGCCACAGGCAATTTGTCCAGGGGTGGGGAAGGCAGCTCCCTGCCACAGCAGCACTCCTGGGGAGGACATCATGGCCCCCAAATCTGTACACAGGGCAGGGACAGATTCAGGTTGCCAGCTGCAGCTTTGGGGATCCCCTCCCTGCTGCCCTCCCCCCAGAAGCCTCATGCCAGCTAAGCCACCATGGCAAGGCACCCCCTACCTGCGCAGCAGCAGCAGCAGCAGCAGCAGCAAGGGAAACAGTGCAAAGTTGTGTCCCCCACTGCTGCTGGGCAGGCAGGGGGCACCTCACCAAGGCAGCACAGAGTTCCTGGGGGGAGGGCATGGGCTCTGCTCAGCTCTGCTCAGCTCTGCTGCATGGGGGGCAGCCAACATCTTAGGCTTGCTCCCCCACCCAGCAAAAAATAAAGAAGAGTTGGCACCTATGGTCCTGCCTAACCTAAGTCCATGAATACACACTACATTTCTAGTGCTATAGGTGCTGCAGTACTTTGAAACACTACAAATATATAGCACTAGAGCAGCAGTTCCCAAAATGTGGTTCATGACCCTAACAGGGGGTCACAACATCAGCAGATGGGGTCACGATAAATGTGCCCCGAGATTCCTGCTCCTACAGTGGGTGTGGGGCTGCAGCTGGGCTGCACCAGCTCTGAGCAGCAGCTGCATCTGCAGCCCAGTGGGTGGGACCCATTGTGGAAGGCAGTGCTGCACCACCATGCCTGCCAAAGTGAGGTATGGCAGTGGTGCAGTTGTGCTCATGCTGCTGCTGAGTGAGCAGGGGGCACCTCAGCTTGACAGCCATGACAGTGCAGCATGACATGGTGCAACACTCCCTCCATCCTGCTCTGGGTAGTGCCCACTGGTCTGCAGAGCCCCCCGGGGGAGGGGGAGGGCGGGGGGGGGGAAGCCCCAAGCCTGAAACGGACAGCCCACTTCCTTCCCCCCTCCACAGGTCTGTGGGCAGGAAGTGAGGGACCATGCTGAGTAAATGGGGTCATGCTAAGGAAATGGGGACATAAATGGGGTCACGCCAAGGAAAAAAAAGTTTGGGAAGCACTGCACTAGAAGCATGGACAGACATGAACCCCCAGGTGGCGTGCTACCAAAAAAAAAAAAAAAAAAAAAAAAAAATCACAGTGCAGGTATAAAATGGCATGCTCTTCCGCCAGGGAGTGTAACAGCATTACTTGGTCCTGTGGCTCTGCTCCCTACCACTGAGGGAGGGAAGCCTGTCAGGAAGTACACTGCAGTCTCTGGTCCCTGGGAGGGGGAGGGTAGGAAAATGGACAACTCTGGTCCTTTTGCCACTTCTTTAGTGTACAGAGCACATGCAGACCTGTCTGCTTAACTTCTATAGCACAAGTGCAACACATGTCCATGGCCTAAGTACTTGTGTCATCTGCAAATATGACTTCATTACTTCCCCCACTCCAGGTTAAGGTTTGCTTTAAAAAAAAAAAGAAAGAAAGAAATTGTTCAAAAACTTTTAGGGACATGTTAACATTAAATAGTATAAACACACAGGCTCAGTTTCTTCCAGCACCCCCCATCAGGACCAGAAATTTTCACTTTTTTTTGTGCAAGTTCAGTTTATTTTGTGCAAGTCGGTGGTAGAGATTATATTGGACAAGTCATATGGATTTTTCACTGTGTCTGTTGATAAACTAAAAAGTTTAAGGAAATAAGCATATTTCATTTCCATCTGTATATCCATACAACTCTGTAGTCATTACTCATGTGTTATCCCTTTGAAGCCAACAAGATTACTAAATTGCTGGACTGGGTATTAAATTCTGATTGAAAAAAGTAGCAGGTTAATCAAGGTATTTAAAAGTTACTTCTTTAGATTCTGAAGAAAGTTTATGACTAGGCTGACAGTAATTAATCTCAAATTAAAAATAATTTATTAAACAAAATAATGTGTATGCTTCAAATTGAATTTCACCCTGGATGCCAAGTTTGATCACTTTTAGAGCAGCAGATTAAAAGATCCCATTATGCAAACAGCAACAGCTAAAATTGCAGATTAATTCTTAATCTCAGAAAAGCAAATGCAATAGATTACTTATATAAATACAGTCCTTACAGATGATACTCTCTTTCTTCTGATTTCGTTCTCAGCTGACATAAGCAGCAGCTCAAGTTCCTTTATTTTCTTTTCTTTATCAGGATCATCATCAATAAATGGCTGCTGAAATGGTTATTTTAGAAAGAAGCTGTTACTTTTGCGGTACATAATCAAAGCTTTCATTTACTATCTAGATTTCTACTCTCTTTCATCCTGCACATAGTGGAAGCAGAAATGGAAACTACAAAAACCATGCTTGACACCCATTTTAGAATAAGGTTGTCAAACAGTTTTAACATGATTCCAATGCTCAATACAGACAAAAGCTTTGTAATATTCAAGTTACTAGTATGGTTTGCATCAGTAAGCACAGTAGGTTTCTTTACTAAAATTCCACTCTTCTACCTCTAATGAAAGTACCTATGGGAGCAATGGTACTATAGAATATGCTAAAAGGACACCAGCATGTTAAGCTTTTGCTTGTTTAATTCTATGCAGAGATGAACTCTGATAGTTGCTGGAGCTGCACCTGTGTAAAGGAGTCTAAAGTAGAATACTGATCATTTAACTGAATCAAGTGATGTCTTAAAGTTGGCATAAAGATTTTTATTGGCTATTATACATGAAATTACCTGAATAAAGTTGGCAGAAGCTGGGATATGTTCTATACAGCTGCCTTCCGATGATGCATATTGGTATCCTGGAATCTAAACAAAATAGGAAATCACCTTTACACATTATAAAATTATGTTTATAGAGCAGTTTGTAAACTTTTTGTTTTAATATTAGTGAGAAGTATAGTTTTGACCACAGGTTAAAAAAAACCTAAAGTGACTGAAAGTTAGCTTCATTTCAAGAATCTTCCATTTTGCAAATTAATTTGTTTTCATACCCAAAGAATAATTCAGAAACTGAAACTATTGCATCACAAAACCAGGTAGCTAGATTTTGGCTTAAACCAGAGGGTCTCAACCTTTTTAGATTCAAGGCATCCCTTGTTAGAACCATGGCATAGGCTGCAAAGAACGCAGAAAGACTACAACAGGTCAAAATGTTTTTGACGCTATGGATTCTTATTTGAGTTTATCTTGTGAATCATGTTTGTACAACACACTTAACAATGCTAACACTGCATGGTAGTTCAGATCACCCTTGGCAGGATCCAAGAGTACTACATCACCCTGATTGAGAACCACTGGCTGAAAAACAGAAGGATGAAATAGGCAATTCTATTACATTTGAAAGCAACTTTCATTTTTTAAATATTTTAAATAAATATGCTTACTTACATCAGTAATACTTGATAAACATTAAACTGAACTCAGTGTGTTTTTTGCTAAGACTTTGATTCTCTTTTTTCATGCTAAGTAAACTGTGAAACAGAGAAACCAGCTTCCCTTCCAAGTTCTTACAATTGTAGGGTTCAAGTTAAAAAAAAACACTTGTAAGAGAGTTTCAATTTAAAGGCAACTGAAATCCAATGAATTTAAAAACAAATCTTGGAAATATTCTGTGTCATATTGAGGTTTTTTAAATTGCTTGTTACAAAACTTGAAGTCAAATCTAAATTGATGGTGTTCCTTTCCATCTTCAATTTTATGGTATGCTTACAGTATACTTTTCTACACTAGGATAAATTAATTTTTGTATGCAAATTTTATGATACTTACATGTGCCTGAACTGGTATGTAAAACTGATTTGGAGTTTGCAAATGTTCCACACTGACACAGGATTTGTGTTGAAGTTTTGATGAACTAGGTCGCTCAGACCTGATGCCATCTTGTAAGTACCCTTCCTGTTCCACTTTTCTTCGCATAGTGGAATTCCAATGATTTTTGATTGAATTGTCTGTCCTAAAACAAAATCATGTTGCAGGAAGATAATTTAATAATATTTTAGGAGCAAGTACAGCAGTTATGTAACTGTACAGATTTTGTAAATTTCTCCACTTATCTCATGTTTTATTGCTCTTTTAAGTGGCAGGTAAAACTGGTCATAACATTTTCCAACAAAACAGGAAACAGTTGGAAAATGTTGATTCACAGAATAATTGTGGAGTCATCTCTTGTTCCTCCAACTTTTATCAGATCTCAGGCAATTCTCACAGAAGTTACCTGGTCCCCTAGTGGGCTTCCAGGCATATCTAGGCTTTAGAAAGCACCGACTACCCAGTACCACAGGCCTTCTAGGATCCAGAGCTGCATACAACCCCTCCTTTTTAGGGCTTCCAAATTCTCTGCTACAGAACCATGGTTCCAGAAGTTCTTTGTGGGTTTTCAGGGTCCAGAGCCTAAGGACAAGCCTGGAACTGAGGAATCCCACAAGAGGGAGCTTCCCCCAAGCCATAAACAATGAATGTCTTGGCAACTGCTGACTGAAATCTACATTGTTAATAACCAATAATGAAACTGACAAGAATGTTGATTTCAAATCAGCAGGTTCCTGGAGATATATTTTCTTTTCAAAACATGACAAGGAGGCATTTTTACCCTGAATTTCCAAATTGAGAAGATATCAATTTCCTGTAAAACTGAAGCCTCAAATTTTCCTCGGTCAGCTCTGTTCATCTGAAAGATCTCTTTCTTGGATACCTCAAAAACAATCAGATATCACATGATGATGTTGAATTTTTATTTTAATTTTCTTTTCAAATATTGAAAGGAGGTAAAACAAACAGGGGTCGGCAACTTATGGCCCATAAGCTAGATCCAGCCTACAAAGAGGTCCAGAATCTGGCACGGGGGAAATTTGGATATCTGGATCTGAAGTCAAACCCAGGAAGTGGTAGTTGATGAAACCAACTCAACATGACACTCAGAGACTAGTGGTGTCCCACAAGGCTCCGTTCTTGGACCTGTACTCTTTAATGTCTTTATAAACCATCTGGACACTGGTGTCAGAAGTGGACTGGCTAAGTTCGTTGATGACACCAAACTTTGGGGAAGAATATCCACACTTGAGGATAGGTTGGTGATCCAGGCCAACCTCAACAAACTAGCAAGGTGGGCGGATGAAAACCTGATTGCATTCAATATGGAGAAATGCAAGGTGCTACCCCTGGGGAGCAGGGGGCAGGAACCTGCATCACACTTATAGGCTTGGCAATGCTTCAGTTGTGGTGCTAGCGAGTGTAAGAGACTTGGGGGTCATGACTGACCATAAGATGAACATGAGCCACCAATGCGATACCGCAACTAGCAAAGCAAACAAAACTCTGCCTTGCATCTACTGATGCATCTCGATCCAGAGACGTGCATCAGGGGTGTGCATCAGGATCTGGGGGAATGCCTGCTCACCAGAGCACCCTGAGGGATGACAAGGTTCAACAGTCACAAACTCATGCAAGACCATTTTGGGCTGGACATAAGAAAAGACTTCTTTACTGTCCGAGCCCCTAAGGCCTGGAAAAGACTCCCCCAAGAGATAGTGCAACCACCTACTCTGGACTCAAGAAATATTTGGACGCTTATTTGCTGGGATCCTTTGACCCTATCACCAAAGAGGAGTATGCCTCCACCACTCAGGTCTGTAGGGGGGCTGTTAGAAAAGCTAAGGCAGATATGGAGCTAGGGCTAGCATCAAGGATCAAAGATAATAAAAAGT